CACAGTCAAGCCCTTGATCCCAAGACTCGTCCTTCTTTCCCAACACGTACAAATCACGACACACAATGGTGACTCATCTGACACCGACTGTCCACCGTCCGATAAGGTAGCAACAAGTCATGTGCTGACACCCACACACACAAATGTTCCTACATATATGATAACAGCACAGCAAAATAACGCAACTCAACAGAGCTTCGCACGTCGCCCAACCCGGAGCACAGCCTCTCAGGATCTACGGCATTTCACCCACTGATATCCAAATCTACGTGTGGCTGTTACAACAGCAATAGGTTACTTAATGAGTTGTGTCACGGGTTGCGCGGTACGTGTCGGACAGCGGCAACTTTGCCTGATTTCGATTGCCAAAATCTCTCATTTTCTTTATTCCAGCCAGTAGGTGCACTGGCTTTGTTACCGAGACCTTACATTCCAATCACCGGCCATTGAACATTACGGGAATTTCCCAGAAATGTTCCACGCGTGGTTCACTACCAGATATTTTTGGACATAGGCTTTTAGATAGCGTGTATAATACCCTGAATAAACAATATCCAGACGTTTTCTAATAAGCCTGTTCATACTTTGTGGAGGCCAACGCATATTAGCATGAATTTTGGCTAGCTTCCCACCAGAATAATCTGTTATATTCAACAACTCCTGCAGACAAACTTGCGAAAATTACAACACCCACCGGTGAGTTTTTCCAAGTGAATATCTGTTTGCTCCATAACCTGTGGGTTGTGTCAATGGTTACTCAAAATAGCTTATGCACTCGTGTTTTCAGCTGCCATCCAGCTGCCGTCGTTTTTTAGTTCATTTTGTAATCAAATACGTATATGCGTGTGCAAAACACTGATACTAATTGCAAAGCAATACTGCAAATGCATGCAGAATCGCATGGCAGAAAAGGCGTCGTACTCAGAGTATTTCGAGAGTTTGGAGAATATTTGGATGCAAGCAAATTGGACATATTTTAACGGCCTATGTGTTCCGGTTATGGATCTGGGGATGAAAATTCGATGCCTGGCAGTTATCCATAC